GGATTGACAGGGACGACTGGGATTCTGGCCTCCCTGGGTGGATGGCAGAACCTTTCCTGAGGCGGGGACGCTGGTAGACCACCGTGTCGGAGGTGCAGAGTGAAGACACGCATCCGTTGATTCGCGGCAGGTTAGATTTGCGATGCCACTGAGACGTTAAGGGTGGGGGTGGAATAGGCAGGAGGGCGGGTCGTAGCCTGCAGTTCAGAAGGGGCCTGAGTCATATTAACAGCCAATTTCCATTCAAATGTAAGTAGTGGATTTGTTCGTATTTCAAGTTTAAGGTATTATTACTTGGCTTTCATTTCCTTTTTTCTCTCCCTCTCCTTTTCTTTAGAGAACTTATTTTAATGTTTCCTTCTACCCCTGTCTTATTGTCTGTGTGCTTCTTTTGACAGAGGAGTTTCCTAAATTCACCCCTGTCTTAGTTTGGTGTCCTCCTCTGCAGTCCGCTTTGCCGGCTCCCGGTCGGACGTCATCAGCTGCAAAGCGGGCAGCAAAGGGAACCGCAGCCACACGTCATTCGGAAACGACTGGAATGTGGGAAACAGGTTGCTGTTTGGGGTGAGAGTGATTTTCCAATGCAAAGGACGTACGCTGTTGCCCAGGTGCTTTTCGGAACTCTTGCTTCGGTGCATCTACATCTGCAGCCGTGGGCCCAAGCCGGTGACTCTCAGGGAGGAATGTGGTGTTCGAGAGAGTCTGGCTTCTAGCGGGTATTCGGACGAAGCTGGTGGGGAGGAGAGAGACGAGGAGGAGGAGTGAGGTGAGGGTTTGTCTCCAAGCGTGTATAAAAGCACCTAAGAATAATTTTCTTGACAAGGCAGTGAGATGACCCAGACTGAGTAGAACCAGCTGCTCTTTCTAAGTAAACTTTACTGGGCGGTGCCGATTCCAACTGGAAACGCAGAACCTGATCCGGGTAGATCCCGATTCTGAGACCAAGCAAACTCCCAAGTAGGAACAGGATTCCAAATGTTTCAATGGGCAGAATTTTCTAAAAGACTAGTACATTGGTGCTTAATTCCAATATTTTAAAAATTGAAAGGTGGGGGAGGATAACTCAGGAAGACTTTTCTATATGGCTTAACAATTAATATTGTAAAAAACCAAGGCAGAGAGAAAAAATCTATTTTCCCCACGAAGCCTGGTTTTCCTTTGCCAAGCTTATCCGATTGATCTCCATGGTGAGAAGTTGAATTAGGGCTGTTTACCCCAGAAGTTTCTGTGCAGTGGGACGTGATGACGGGACTTGGCTTTGGGTCCGGCCATCGCTGGCTTCTTCCTGGGGTGGGGACTGTCTTCGTGGCTATGACAGACAAGGAGAAAACCAATGTCTCTTAGCGATGCAAGATGTTATTTTCGTGGTTGGTGCGATCTAGTCTGTTACACTCCCAAATAAGTTTCCTAGCTGAAATTTCTAGACCAATTTTCAACCTTTACTGAGACTCTTTTTCCATGAGGGACTCCATTAAGCTTCTAATGGTGTGATGTGACTTCTAAACACATAAATATTTGTGTACCTCTGTGTGTGTGCTTCCTAGCGGCTAGGTATTGTCCTAAGTGCTTACGAGGCATTAAGCCACTTAAGGCTCACATCAATTTTGTACGACTGGCTCTTCTGTGATTCCCATTTTGTGGATGAATAAACAGTGGAATGGATGGGTCAGTTACTTGGCCAAGGTCACACAGCGGGCGTGTGTCTCGGAGCCAGGGTCTGAGCCAGTGCTGTTGGCGTCTGGTGCCTGCTCTCCTCGAAGCTACACCTCTGCATGGATGAGAAAAACGTGTTAAAGTGTGTAGTCCCAATGATGTTTTATTTTCTCGTAGGAGTGACTGGGTGACATCCTACAAGGTCATGGTGAGCAATGACAGCCATACCTGGGTCACCATTAAGAATGGATCTGGAGACATGGTGAGTCTCTTCTTCCCTCTGACCATGCCCTTGGTGCCTGGCTGTGCCAGGCTCTGCAAAGGGAGGTGATGTGTGACCTGTCCCTTGGAGGTTTGCTGATTCCGTGTTGACTCAAACCTCCCGTGAGAGTCTGACGGACGGTGACCCCCTTCCCATTCCCTGGAGCTCAGTGGCAAGTGGCCCACATTTAGGGCTAATGTAAAATCAGCCTTTACTTACTCCAATCAAAGAGCTGCTGGGACGCAGCCCCTTACATCGTTCGCAAGTTGGCCCTGGAAGATATGTTCGTAGGGCAAGTGCGGGCCCTGCAGCTATGCATAATAGTTTCCTAACTTGCTTAATGACCTTGGTCTTTTAGCTGCATTATTGGCTCCAGCTTAATCAGTTCTGATCCTGTCACTTTCTTCCTCAGATGCTCAAGTGCATGTTCCTAGCATGGCATCCAGTGTCTTACACGTCTGACTATATGTATAGCCTGCCTTGTTACCCTTTGTCCTCATTCTTACCCTGCGTGCACAGTCCTGGGGGTCAAAGTGAGCCAGCTGCCCCTCTGCCTGTGAATTCTGTGTCTGGGCTTCTGCAACCATTGCTGTCAGTTTTCCCTAGAACCCCTCTCATCCCAACAGATCCAAGTAGTTTTCTCTCCGTGCCAGTTCAAACAGCACCTCTTCCCCAGCACTTAGCCTGGTCCCCTCCTCCTGGAATCTCAGAACTCTCTGGCTGTCCCTTTGCCATGACATGAACAGATTTCTCCTGCAACACAGAATTACCAGTGCTCCGTCCCCTACACGTACGCACCAGCTAGACAGAGACTTCCTGCAGGCAGGGCCAGGCTGATCCATTCCTCTTTTCTCCTCAGTGCCCAGCACAGGACAGGTTCCCTCAGTACGGTCTTGTCGAAGTGGACCACTGCCTCTTCGATCCCTTGATTATCAAGTTCTGAAATTCTCCTCTTCCCTCCTTGGGCACAAATAGATCTTTGAAGGAAACACTGAGAAGGAGATCCCCGTCCTCAACGAGCTGCCGGTCCCCATGGTGGCCCGCTACATTCGCGTCAACCCGCGGTCCTGGTTTGACAACGGGAGCATCTGTCTGAGGATGGAGATCCTCGGCTGCCCGCTGCCAGGTGAGTTTGTCCTCCTGTCCTCCCTGCAGGGCAGCAGGCAGGTGCCCAGCCACGGCGCGTGAAAGCAAACCGAGCCATAGTTTTCTTGTGTAAAAAAAAAAAATACGTGTCTGTTGTAGAATATTTAGAAAACATGAGGGAGCCAAAAAGAAAATAAATAAACATTTCGCACACTCCCACTCGGAAGCGCCATGAGCGTCTGGGGTATTGAGGTCCCTGCCTGAGTGCAGTGCTGCCTGCTGCAGCTTCAAGGTGGCGCAGACCACTCGGAAGTGAGCACAAAAGAACTGTGTAAATATCGGGGGACACATTTACTTGTTGTTGACAGATCCCCCTACACTGGGCAGCGGCAGGGGGGTAGGAGGAGGTAGAAGTTCATTTTAAACTCGGCCGTTTTACATGGTCTGTTTTTGGTTTCAATGGCTCCGCTTGGATGCCTTCGCCTTTGGGCAAATGCCCGCCCTGTCAGATTGCATTCCCCTTGCCCTGTGTTCGCATGATGGTATTTGGGTGGAACCTCAGGGGGGCTTAAGGAAAGGGGCTTGAGTCCACGTATGCCACCCGGGTCCTCGGCACTGGCTGCTCGGGACAGGCTGGCGTGATCGGGCTCATGGCTGGCTCCGTGTGGCCTGTCAGGCGTTGTGTGCTCGTGCCCATGTGGAGCCTGTAGGCGCACCCTTCATCCTGACCAGCCGTCTCCGGGGAAGGCAGCTGGCCCCGAGAGCACCCCTGCAGCAGCTCACTGGGGCCTGCAGGGACTTTGGCACTCCTGTCCACCCACAGCGAGGCCATGGGGACACGGAGCACAGCTATGGCTCATGACTCTCCCCCTCTCCCCTTCGGTGTGTTCTCCTGCTCTGCCCAGTGTGCAGTGTGGCCCGGCCCCAGCCCTCCCAGAGCCTCCTGGGGGCAGGGGACCAGCTCTGGAGCTATTTCTGCAGTTACTCCCCTACACTGTTTTTGAAGCACGTTAAAAGTCATTTTATTGTTTTTTTCTCAATCCCATGCTGTTCATGACCTTGCTTTGCCCAGCATGGATTTTTACAGCACAAACCTTGTATTGTTGAGAAAGACGGCCCTGTCTCCCTACCTACTTACCCTCACTCCAGACGGATTTTTGTTTTGTATCTGTTTGTACTTAATAGATTGCGAATTTTTTTCATGTCATTAAAACCATTAGAGACCATCTGTCCCATGGATGCCTTCTAGCCTAGTCCGTGGACAAAATCTCACGATTTTAATCTGCTTCATACAGTTGGAAATTCAGTTGTTTCCAATAATTTGATTCTGTAAACAACCTCACAGTGAACATCCTTATTTCTCTGTCATTGTTTCATGTGTGTGTCCACGATTATTTCCTGAAATTAGATGATGACAGGTAGGGTTGCTGGTGCAAAGAATGTGCAAATTTCCAGGCTGATTTGGAGAGTGTCGAAGCCCTGCCTGGTTTGGGATTTGGGCCTTCTGTGGCTGGTTAGTGCTGGAACTGCAGGCACAGGCCCAGCCCCTGCTACCCTGGGCCCGCTGGGCTCTCCCAGCACAGGGTGTCTATGGGCACAGATGTTGCCGGCGGCTGCAGGAAGGGCTCGCGGCTCTGGCCGTCTTTGTGACAGGCCAAGAGCCTTGCTCTGCCGTTCTGCTCAGCACAGCCTGGGTCTGCTCGCTTTAAAAAGTAAGGTCATGGTTTTCCTCTGCGGGCAGGAATTCATCTGTTGTTGGTAAGGGGCAAAGGGCAGCCTGGGAGAGTCTCATGAAATAAATATTTCCCTGCGAAGTTTTTCTGGGTGGGCGTGCGTTTGAAGATAGGTCCTGGAGGTCTTTAAACACTCACAGAGGCAGAGTTACGCTGTGCGGTCTGCATTCAAGTGTGGACTCACAATGGCTCTATTTTCCACCCCCAGATACTTAGGGCCATTTTTCTTCTAGAAGTGACTTAGCAGTCTGCTCCGAGGGGAGCCGGCTGTTCATGTGTGCCGCCTGGTGGGGGTCACGTCTAGGACCAGGGTGGCACAGGGACCCTAATGAGCCTTTCTCGTTGCCCTGGTGCCGGTGAGCTTCCTTTGTAAAAGGAAATGAGGCCACGCCAGGGATGGCCCAGCCGGCTCAGCTACCCAAAGCCAGCGACCTCGTGGTCTGAGCGCAGCCCCCAGCAAGCTCTTCCCGGAACCTCTTTATGAAAAATCCATTTCCCTTTCCACATCACTGCCCCTCCAGCACCGACCCTTTCCTGCGAACGCTCTGGTGGGGGCGAGGAGGGTGCCGGTGCTTTTTTAGACTTCATGAATAATGTTTCCAAAAATTTTTTAGCTGGAAAGTGAATTACCATATACTGTGGTCTAGTAATAGGACTTTTAAAGCTCGTAAATAAAAGAAAATGGGCATTTGTTGTTTAATGGGCACAGAGTGTCAGTTTTGTAAGAAGAAAGAGTTCTGGAGGTGGACGGCGGTGACGGTTGCGCAGCGCCGTGAATGTGCGCGACACTACCGAACCACACGCTGAAATGTGGCCAAGGTGGCAAATTGTATGCGGGTGTATTTTACCACAATTAAAAATGAAAATAATTTTGTTGCTATTAATTTAAAAAAGCAAAAAAGAAGTCAAGTCCTTTTCCCCAAGTTTGAATGGACTTGTCCATTTTGGACTAAATATACCTGCTTATTAGAACCCAGGGAGAGCTTCTGAAGATGAAGTTTTACTAATGAAAAATTCAGGTTAAGACTTCTGCCAGCTGACTTCAAGATCAGGGCCTTGGTGGTTTTCAGGGATTTTGCTGCTGCAGACAGCACTGCTGTGCTCACTGCCTGGTGCTTGAAAGGACCCGGTGAGCTTTGCACACAACTGACCCACAGGGTGACAGGGTTGGTGCCCAGCGTCTTGGAAAATGGCCTTCAAGATAGGACGATGGTGACGCTTGAGCTCCTGGCTCTGCCCAGCAGCATTTATCATGAATGTGTGACTTTGACCTCTCTGGGGGAAGTTGTCGCCACCTCCACCTCCTCTTCCTGGGCTCCAGGTCTACGTGACTGCCCTCCCTCTGCACAGCGCTGAAGTGTCCTGGGTTCTTGGGTTTGACTCAGAGAATCTGGCGATGAGCCGTGTGGAGGTCTGTGCACAGGAGCATGTTCTCCCTGGAGCATGGAGCAGGGCAGTGCCCAACAGTCATTCCTGTGGGTCCCGGGACCCATTGAAATGCTGGTCTCCCTCCCGATACGGGTCCCCAGGCCATGCCCATTAGTTCATAATAACTGAAAAGTTATTTTCATTGTGAACCTACCACCTGTCTTGCTGAACCATAATAACGATGTCTCAGCTGGCTCACTCCCTCATCAACGTGTAAACTGGGAGAAATACAGGTTGTCACTCTGTTGGGTCACCAGAGGTGTGGAGACTTCTGACATCAGTCTGACTGTGCTCTTCCTGTGTAGATCTGTCTTCTGTGCCCCATTCCTGTCTCTGTCGTCCTCTGACCTCCTGTCTCGGGCTTCTGGGTTGGGGGCAGTGTGTGGGATGTCCGGTGTTTTTAGATAGAGACCTTCTCCCGTTGGGCTAGGTGGTGCCTGGCCTTTCCAAACCACGAGTTCCATGAGAGGAACTCTGCTCCTCCCCTAGAAAGCAGAGGAGGCTGCTCTCGTTTTGTTTTTAATTTTACAGCAGCTCTTCCATTTCTGGTCTGTGAACGCTGTGAGGACCAAATGAGACCACGTTTGTAGAGCGCCAGCACGTGGCAAGTCCTCAGCACGCTGTATTTCCCCTCCTTTCCCTTCTTCCTCCTGTACTGCCCTGGGTTTGGCTCTAGGGCTTCCTCATGTCTGCAGTCACCAGACCCCACGGATGTGGGTGGATGTGACAGAAGATAATCCGTTTCTTCTCATCTCTGTTCACCTTGTCCTGGTTTCGTTTTCTGTCCTTTCTGTGTGTGACTTGCTGATGGGGCTAAACCTCTACTTTTCCAGCAACGAGGATGCCAAGGCCTCCCCCAGGTCTCCCTCTGGGATTTGAGGTTGAGGGGGCAGGTCACATGGGGAACCACAGACTTCCCTCCCGCCTCATCTCAAACTCTGGCCTGGGCTCGCTGCACAGCAGGAAGCCCCCTTCTCCCTGTACAGAAACAGCTCGGCTTGGGAAGACGGGTGGTCCTCTCGCAGTGGGCTTTTCGCAGTGCTCGCCACGACTGACTGCCCTGGGCTGAATGTGTCCCTCAGAATTCCTGTCTGCCCAGAGCCTCAGATGTGACCTTATGTAGAAATAGAGTCTTTGCAGATATAATCAGTCAAGATGAGGTCACACTGGACTGGGGGGCCATAAATCCAATGACTGGAGTCCTTAAGAAGAACAAACAGAGACACGGCGCACAGGGAGAACGGCACGCGTTTTCCGTCTCCGCGTGCACTTTCACGTGGTCCCTGCATAGCTCACAGCCCAGCTGCCGGGAAATGGGCCGTGGCCACCTCCATGACCAGGCCTCCTGCCACTCACATTCAGCTCTCATCCAACCTCCTCTTCCTCCACCCTCCTTCTAAACAGGTTGTGGGCGTGCACAAGGGACCCGGGAATGGCAAATTGTTCATTCCCAAGTATGGGGGTGATTCCTGCTGGAGCTGCTTGGAGCCCCAGAGCAGATGCCCAGGGTTGGAAGGAAGGCAGCTGGAAGTGGGGTCTCCGTTTCGCGCTCTCCTGTGTCTCTTCTCTTTTGTATATCCTTTCTGAAATGGAAGACGAAGTGTGCAGCCTTTGCCACAGTGTCTGTGGGTGTGTGTGCTCCTTCCACGAGCCTTGGGTGAGCCCCTTGTCGTTGGGGGCCTCCCACCTTTCAGCCTCATTTCCAGCATCTCCCACAGTTCTGGGTACATCGCCCGTGCTCAGTGAATGAAGTACCAAAACGGCGTGGCTTGGAATAGCAGAAGTTGATCATTTCCCAGTTCTGGAGGCTCCAAGTCTGAGATGAAGGTGTCAGCAGGGTTCGTTCCGTCTGAGGCCTCTGAGGGAGACTCTCTGTGTCTCTCCTGGGTCTGCTGGGTGCCGTCAGCATTTGACATTTCTCGGCTTCTAGAGGTGTCACTCCAATCTCTGCCTTCATCCGCAGTGGCCTCCCTGAGTGTGTCTCTGTGTTCGTGTTCCCATTTACGTGAAGGCCCACCGTAACGACTTAATTTTAACTTCCGTACAAACCTATCTCCAAATACAGTCACATTCTGAAGTGCTGGGGGGTTAGGACTCCAACATTTTTGGGGGAATAGTGGGGGACCCAATTCAACCCCCAACAGGATGTGATCAATAGACCAGTTTGGACCAGTTTGGACAGAGCAGAATGTTCGAATAGTTCAATCAGGGAAGTGAGGTTGGGAAGGTCATTTTAGGCTCTGCCCCCAGAGTTTGTGTCACCCCACCTCTAAGGTGTTGCAGAAGGAACCAGCTGGCTATCAGTACAGGGGATGTATAGAACTAACCACACGAAAGGAGAATGATTTGCTGTAGCTCCATCTGTGAGGATAAAGGCCTCATAGACTTCTGTTTCAGAGGTCAGAAGTCCTACCTGAATTAGCTTAAGAAAAAAATAAAAGAAATTTTTGGTTCAAATAAGGGAAAATTCCAGAGGTTGGTCTGACTTGGCTTGAGGCGAGAATAGGTCTCACATTTCAGGGCCTTCTTTTTGGGGTCAGGGCTGTGTCTCTCGCGTTCTCACAGACTGGCAGGTTGGCCTTGAACACCCCAAACCCACATCCTCCCATCTGAGGGCTCCAGCAGAGAGCGACTGTTTTCCTACAGCTCTGGGAGAAAAGTCATCTGATTGGCCCAGCTGGGATCCAGGGGTCATGTCTGAGCCAATGAGTATGGCCGGAGGGAGTGTGTTTTAATTGGCTGGATCCCAGTCACATGCTGATGCCTATGCCTGTGGGCAAAGCAGTCCCATCCGAGCCCCCTGGAATAGTATCCCCACAGGAGAAAGGGAGTCTCTTGTCCACAGAAGGAAGAAGGGAACAGAGACTGGTCTGTCAATGGACTCTAGGCTTGGTCCTCATTCACCTCATTCATGAAAATGTGGGCTTCTAGTAGGTTCTCAATAAAACTTAGTCCAGGCAGAATAAATGGACAAGTGAAGAAGTATTTGTTCAAAATGTGGGCAACCGAGAGTTGTGCAAAATACCTGTGGTGTTGAGACAGCCCTGGGACCTGTACTCATATCCTTCAGCAGCCCCATTAGTCTTGAAGAAGGAAGAATATCCCCAAACATAGAGCTCCTTTGTACTTGGGGCTGAATTTGCCTTCAATCCTTTTTAAGAGCTTTGAAGGTATAACTTGTGTTCTGAAAACAAAAGTCCTTTGGAAAGAGGCCCCTGAGGCTGGGAGGCGTTGAGTAGGTCTCAAGAAACAGCAGGTGGGTAAGTTGAGTGTAAATGAATGTGGAAAATATGCTTTACCTTCGCTTTGAAACTTGCAGGCTAGGAACCAAAAGGGCAGGCAGCTTGCCCCAGGCGTGGTCAACCCCACTCCCAGAGAAAAGTGCTTAAGAGATAATTGGAGGCGTTTGGCTGGGCCCAGTGGCTTTTCCTTTGTGGTCTGGACAGAAGGCCAGTTCTCCCTCCCACATCATTTCCTTTTCCATGACAGTATTTTGTTTCTAATGGCATTACAGGAAAAAAATTGTGAATATTAAAAATTGCATTTTTGGTGTTGAGGATAGATGTGATATTTAACCTGTTGCAGGTGGCCTCCGTTTTCAAGGGCGAAGCCCGTCTTTAAGTGAGCCCCGGCCAGTTCAGGTCAGTTCATGGCAGGTGCTGCCTGAGCTCGGGACTTTTACCCAGTGCTTCTCAAACTTCTGGGCCTACAGAGTCAGCTGGGTCGTGTTACAGTGTGGACTCTGGTTCCATAGATCCGGTGTATCTAGCAACCAGCTGGGGATGCTGGTCTGGGGACCATACTTGGTGGCCTGGAGCAGGCCTTGCTGCACCCGATTCCTCAGAGAGCAAGTGCTCACCCTCCTCTGCCCTCCACCGCCACTGCCACTGGCTCCAGAATGGCCCTCGGAGCCACCGGGGTCAAACAGACGGCTGCGTGGCCCTGCGTTTCCCACATGGTTCATAGGGTAGTAGGTTGGCCTTCTAAAGCACCACGTTTTCCCTATGTTGGAGCTAGCACTGAGCTGGCCTCCAGCAGGAACCAAAGCATGCGTTTCCAGGGAGGAAGGGTGAGATAGGAATTTATGCCGAATGGGCTGGCTACATATACGTATTCAACAGGTCATAGGAAGAGCTACTGTGGTTCAAGCTTCGTAATTTGGAAAGGAGAACTTTATTTCTCATGAAGGGTTGCAGCCTGCAGGTGCCTTCTTATAGGCTGGGTAGCATAGCCTCGGGCAGAAACCAAGTGCAAGCACTTCTTCAAGGGAGGAGTAAAGGGAACAGGAATTTGTGCTGAGTGGGTGGCTGAATATGCATATTTAATAAGCTATAGGAGGAGTCATGAATATTTATGAAAGGAGAAACATTGAGTTTTATGTCGCTTCATAGGACCCACATTCAAAAAATGGCAGTGATAGCAGGATCTCAGGGTGGAGTTTCTGGTCCTGTGACATCAAAAGGTGAAGCAGAGGACATGAATTCCCTCTGCACAGCCTCCGTAGACTGGCCAGAGCCACACGGTGGTGGGTGGACTCTTATCGGGAAGGATTGCTGGTCAGTCGTGTTGAAACCACAAGAGGGAAGAGCAGCATTAGGTGGTCGGGTGGAATCAGCAGTGGAGCCCTTTCCAAAGAGCTGGTTTCTGCTTAATCCTTAGGGAAGAAAGCCTAATGGCAGGTAGCGTGGGAGCGGTATAAGAAGGCGTGTCCCACCTCCTTCCCCATTATGGCTGGGATTTCAGTTTATAAAGTTTCTCTGGGATCCCGTTGGCCAAGAGAGGATCCGTTCAGTCGGTTGTGGGGCTTGGGATTTTATTTTTATATCTCGCTATGAATATTCACAAAGGGGGAGCGTGCATGTGTAGTAAGCAAACATACAGGTTACGGAGGTCCTATGTTCACTTTGGGGTGGAGACTTAACATTTAAATGTGTTAGAATTAGGCTGTATTCATCAAGAGGTGACACGGTGGGCGCTGAGGCATCCTGTGTGCAGAGCCGGTCCATGGTCCGTGGTCTCTCGTCAGGAAGGAAGGCTGGTCAGCCGTATGCATCAGCAGTGGAGCGAGTCTTTAGAAAGGGCCGGTTTCTGCTTAACTCTTAAGAAAGAGCCTTATAGTGGTTGGTGAGGGAGAGGGGAAAATAGGCCACGTCTGACCTCCTGTCCAGTCATGGCTGCGAACTCAGTTTTTAAGACTTCTCTGGAATTGCCTTGGCCAACAGGGATCTGTTCAGTTGATTGGGGGGCTTAGGATTTTATTTTTATTTCTCAGAGGCAATGTTAGAAGCTAGAGATTGGGCTGTGCTGTCCCTGCAGTTCCCACACGAATCAGGCCCCTAACAGAGACGCCATGAGTAATAGAATAATGAGAGTGAATTCAAACCCGTATTTCTGTCCCTAGATCCTAACAACTACTATCACCGACGGAACGAAATGACCACCACTGATGACCTGGATTTTAAGCACCACAACTACAAGGAAATGCGCCAGGTAAGACCCAGATCACAGAGTTTCATGCCAGGAATCTTTCAAAAGAGCAATATATCATGTGCCCATAACACTTAATTTTGTTTTCAGAAATTAGATGATGTGTCAGAGACAGGGAAATGATTGATTGTTTGGTTTGCTGAAGACACACCAAATGCTTGTCTTTCTAAGGTCTGGGGTTCCGGTGGCCGCAGGATGGCTTCCTCGCTGGCAAAGGATTGAGCACAGTTTGAATCCAGGGTCTTCTCATTGAATACTCTAGTTCTTAGGAATGACGGTATGTTTGAGTGCTAGCACTGACTGAGGGATGTTGGGCATAGGTGGAGTCAAAGAAGAAAAAGGATCTAGAATAATGCTGAGAAGAATAATAATAGCAGGAAGTATTCATGTAGGACCAAATGCTGTGCTCGGCAGTTTACATACATGAAAGTGTTTAACCCTCCAACAACCCTAGGGTGGTAGAGACTGTCGTTAGCTACTTACGGATGGGGAAACCGAGTCACTGAGTGACTATAGCACTACCCCTTGTTATTCAGAGTTTCAGTTTCGGCTGCATATTAGAATCACCTGGGTGAATTTACAAGACTCCCTGTCATTGAGCCCCAGGTCAGGCCAACCAAAGCAGAATCCTTTAGAGAAAAAGGCCCGGGATCCACATTTTAAAGCACTCTCTTGGTGCTTCCGCCATCCAGCCTGGCTTCAGAATTCCTAGCTGATACCTTTAGTAGCTCTTAGTACTGTTAGAAAGAAAAGGCAATCCCAGATGAGAATTTTCTTCAGATTTCATCACAGAAACCCAGCAATTCTGAACTTTTAATGGCATTTGCATACTGGATGCAGAAAGGGGAAGACATCACACGTCTATTGGGACAAGCTAAAAGGCAGTCCCTGTGCTGAGTGCATCCTCTGTGAAATCCTGTTCTGTGCCCAAACCCAGCAGGTACTAGAAAGCGTGGGGAGGTGCTGGCCAATGAGGGACCCTCAGCCGAGGCTCTGAAGAGGCAGAACCAGCAGAAGTGTCCTCGTGAATACATTTATAGAGCGAACATTCACCAAGGGCAATGAACAGGGCATAAAGGGAGGGCTCGCAGGTACGGAGGGAGGGAACCAGCCATCCAGGACAAATGTGAGAGAGGATTCTGGGTCGGCACAGCCAGGCTGAGCCCCAAGCCCACAGAATGAACAAGCCTGTTCATCTTGATGAAATTTAACTTGAGGTACTCACATGCAGCTTCCAGACACCTGTCAGCACAGACTTAGAGGTGGGATGTGCTGAAGAAATCTTCTCGTTGTCTCGCTCTTCAGAAATCAAGATGACGGGTTTGGACTTGGGGCCTGTGAGTCATCCCTGCCGCTCCATGGTCTCGGTGTTTGTGTGACTCCGCTCGCCATTCTGCCTCACACGGGTGGATTAACTCTGCTTTGCTCACTGGATGTCTCAGGATGTCTTTTAGAGCCCAGAAACAAAACCAGCATCAACTCAGTGCAATTAGTGTCAAAAGCAATAAATCTGAATGCATTTAAAACGAACAAACTGCACAAAGAGACGCTGGGTAAATGGTAATTTTGCAAAGTTGCCCTGTGTGGAGAACTGGGGCTCTTTTCTTACAAGCAGAGCTAGTGGGCAGTGCTTCATTCCACTAGGCAACCCTGATCCCTATGAGGGTAAGAGGAGCCTTTGGATTGTCGATGCAGCCCCCTTGGGTGACACTAGGGGACACCTCTGAGATCCCACAGCTCAGCAGCACTCAGCTGGAAGCTGTCCACGGGAACACCCGTCAATCGTGAAGAGTGTTCGAGCCAGAAATGGTTTGCCATTTGGATTCCAGTCTCCTACGGATGGGAAGGAAGACAGCATTTTTAGTAATTTGCCCATATGGAGTCTGCTTGGTTACTGTAGACATCTTTCTACCTAGGAAAAAATGGTTCATTTTTCCTACTGTTGAAAGAGATGTTGATAACAAACCAAAGAAAGAAACACGAGCAGGAAGCGAGAAGAGACAATAGAAAACCTATTGCATTGTGAGAGGAAAGTCATGAGAATACGTGTGACTCAGGGCACTGCCCTGTAAGGCGCTGTTCCAGGCGGAGGGGGGCAGTGGTTGGACATGGGAGGGAGGAAGAGAGGAAGGAGAAAGGCCCCACGTTGGTACTGTAAGGTGGAATGAGAGAGTTGTTCCAAGAGAATGCTAAAGACCTTCCAGCGTGTATTGCAGTTTGTATGTACATTGTCTGTCTGCCTCATTTGGGACAATAAAGGCAGAGACCCTGTCATTTTATCACACATCCTCAAATATGCTCAATAAGTATATTTGAGGTCGTTACAATCGGGGGGGATGAGAAGGAGAGGAGACCCATCTGCTTGGCCACGGCTGGGGGCTTTGGCTGCAGATGGGATCAGCTGTCATCCAAGGTATGTGGCCGGGTGTGGGGAGGCAGGGACAGAAGGGAGGGTGCTCTAAGCAGAGAGGACAGAAAGAGCAAAGGTGGGGTGGCAGGAGTGTCCAGGTGTGTATCTGGCACAGTCGGCAGTCGGTTGGGAGAAGAGGCTGCCCCGGGTCTGAGGGGTCAGTGGAGTTTCTTTAGGAGAGCAGAGCTGTGTTTCCGGAAGCTGTGTGGAGAGTTGGTTGGTGAGAGGTTGGGCTGTAGGCCCCGTGGAGGGGCTGCTGGGTCGGAAGGAGGATGGGGAGGGGCATTTCTGAGGCGGGCTGGTCCTAGGTCACCTGTAGGCGTGAGTCGTGGGGGAGAGAGGGATCTGGCGTGCTTCTGTGGGGAGTGGGGTGCCCTTCCCAGAAAAGAGAGAAGTTGAAAGAAAGTGAGGAAAAGGTTAACGACCGACTTTGGTGTGGGCTACAGCACCGTCAGGTCCCCAAATGCTCCGGAAACACTTATTAGCTGGCCGGGACGTAGCGTGTGATGCAGGTAGAGTGCGGTGGGAAGGCTGGTGGTGTTGGGGCAGCCAAGGGTGGCCAGGTTGCTCAGGCTGGGCACAGTGGCTGACCTGCCACCTGCTCTGTGCCCAGCCTGACCCTGGGGGCGGGGCGATGGTGGCAGGGAGCCAGGGCAGGGCCTGCCGATTGGGACATACCCAGCTCCTAACCACCCCCCCCACATGTGATTCTCACTGCGCTTCCCTCCCTCTTCCCTCCTTCTGGAATTTCTTTTGTGTTGGGCCAGGTGCAGTGTCTGTTTCTCAGGCAAATGAGGAGCGATGGCAGAAGAGAACGTTTTCTCTTCTCGCTTCTCTTTTAGCATTTGCACTCATTGGACAAACAGTGCTGTATCAACATCGAGGGCGAGCCCAGAGTCTAAAGGCACGTCCTCCACAGACCCGTGGCTCCAAAGACTCAGCAGTTTTCCCCGTCTCCCCATTTTTATCCAGCGTTTGACCTTCTGTGTTCACAGAACTCATACAGTTTTGACTGGAGGCTGGTGACGTCTTTGCCCGTGTGTCTCAGTTAATATTGGAGCACTAGCTATTGTCCCTGCTGTCCTCATAGTCGCCGTTGCAGTGTTGCAGGATGCTGCAGTGAGCGGAGGCATCACAGTTTTCTCAGCTTCAGTCCTGCTCTGGAGCATTCGGCCGCCTCTCAACTCCTAGCGAGTACTGATGAGCACGGAACACGCCACGACAAGTGACATCATGCATGTAATTTCTTCCATGCTTTATGAATAATTTTCTTCCGAATATTGCCAGAAATTGAGGCTCTTGGTCTCCCTCAGTAGGGAGGGAAGTGGCAGAGCCCAGGACGTAGCAGATCACGCCAGGATACACGTTTATTCGCATCCCAGAGTTGGGGAAACAGTCTTGGAGGCCATGAGTCTCGCAAACCCTGGTACTCTCAGGGTGGCATTTCTCAACACTCTTTTTCATCACTTACTTCCAAGGGAGACTTTTTTAGACTTTTTCTCCTTAATGTGAATACCCCTCCCCCCATTATATTAAATACTAAGAAATAAGATTTTTCAAGATAGAGTGAGCGTTGGAGGACCACAAAACATTGTAATGCCTAAGGTTTTTATAGCCCTAATTTTCACTCTCTTGGGGGTAAGTAATGTCACCCCTTTTGAGAATGTGTGCTCTAAGGCAATGATGAAAATTCTATCTCTTACTCTTTATTCATCAACAAAGACCCAAACTCCTGAAAACCGTCTTTGACTTTTTTCAGGAATAATTGCATGTGTTTACAAGAAATAGCTCCGTTTAAATGGAGAACTTCATTGCCAGGGATGTTTGTGGCTCCTTGCTGGGAAGAGCAGGGTGGATCACCATCTATGTCTTTGGTGGTGCTGGCGGCCACTGGAGAAACGCTCCCTGGCACTCCAGAGGGCCACTGTGCAGAGAGGATTGTAAAGAAACTTCATAGACAAGAACGTGCTCCAAATGCCCATGTTCTCAGATGGGGAAGATGCTAGATGCTTGTGACACCACATCATGATGGCACGTGGTTCATTTATTAACTGGCACCGTGCCGTTGGTGGGAAAGTGTGGCTGTGACAGTGGGGAGAGTATTGGGAAGGGATTCTGATGGCTCATGGCCCCAGCATCCTCCCGTGTCCATGGCTAAGTGTGCATCCCAAGGGAAGGTGATACTTGTCGTCTTCCAGTGTCAAGGTTGTGATCTGTCGTCCTGGCAGCACATTTCTCCTGCAGCTAATTGACCGGGGGTCACACTAAAGACCAGCCAGGCCCGTGCCAAACGCTTGCATTCATTGCCTAGTCAGTGATGAACCGCCTGGCTCAGTGTCTGTAGAGCTAGTCATTGATCTGAACGCAAGACAGCGGATCACCTGCCGATCAGGGTTTGCTGAGGTCAGTGCTGGTGGCTGAGAATGACTGTGCACCAACAGGGACTAGCACATGGGGCCTCAGAGGAGATGGCAAGTGCGCTGTGGCCATCTTTCAGAATGGTCACAGTGTGCGGCAGAAAAAATGGGCAGCAGAGATGTGCCAGTTCTCATTGCCTTAGTGCACCTTTGTAGACAGGTAGGGAAGTGGGAAGAGCCCTAAGAATCCAAAGCCCTGGCTCCACCTGCTACCAGCTGGGTGACCCAAGGCAAATCACTCAGCACCTCCCTGAGCCTTAGTCTCCACATCTATAGAATGGGGACAGCCACCTGCCTTATCTCCTTCCTGGCTGTCATGGTGGTGAAGTCAGTAGAGAAACAGAACGTCGTCTTACTGCTCTTGTTAACATCATTATGACATTGTTACTGTGAGTCTTTTGTTAAAATGTGATGCCACTCATGTGAAGCCCCACACCACCCCTGCAGTATTTATCCTCATGGTCATGGCTACAGAAGCAACATTTCTCTTGCATGTTCTTTCTCCATTTATGGTGGGTTTCTGTTTGGGCCTCTTGTGATGCGAACCAGAGTCCTGTGTGGCCAGCTTTCTCTCACCTAAATATTGTGACACTAAGTGAGTTATCATAAAGGGAAGCATGTTTGCCCCCAGGAGCAGCGAGAGAATTAGATCCTGAATTCCCAACCAAGGCTGCCCTATCACCCCTCGTAGGTGTGTCTTAAAAGCCAAGCTATGGTAGCAATAAATCTTCCTGCTCTTTTAGAAATGCTCCTTGGTGCCCGTTAAACCCACTCTGCCCCGTCATTACAGAGAGTTGTATTATGAAAGGCAGATGAAGCATACAGCAGTATAACTCCACTGTATCATAAATTCGACATAATACCAATTTGCCAGTTCTCATAGATTTTAACCTACCATAAAATTTGCAACAGATTTGTTTATTTACACTTTACAAGGCCACTTTATGGATAATTCGCTAGATCAGGAATTTTTTGGAAGCTTGTTAGAACACATTCGGGTCCACGTGGTCCCCACCCTTCCTTGCTTCTGCCGCTCAGTGGCGGCGTGTCCTTCAAAGAGACGGCGCCCTCCCTAGTAGGCACCCACCCACCGACCACCCTACTGGAATGTTCTCCCTCTCTGCTTCTACAGCACCCGAGCTTCCCTCCTGCTCTTTAGCACACTGTCATGAAGTTGTCCCAGGAACACGCCAACCCCCACCACGAGCTCGCTGCCTGGTGCGGAGCAGGCTCCTCTGTAAACATCGAGTGAGTAAACATCTTTCACCTGGGGACTGCTGAACACACCTAACCCAGCCAGTCAAAGCCACTTTGCAGCTAACTCACAGGTGCTTGTTCCACCCTTGAGACAAGTCAACCTGCAGGGACAGGCGTCCCTGGCCCTCCTCCCCAGGCAGCTTTTTCTCCTGTGACTGGCAGAGCTGTCCTCACCTCATTTGGCAGCCTGTCTCATTCTCGCATCCGACTAGCTAAGTTTAAAGACAAAATTCAGAAAATAGCATGTATTTATTTCACTTCCTTGCTGAAACCTGCTTTTCCTGCCAATTAACCCCATTATTCCCATTGTCATGGCAACTCTGCGCTCTCCCTCCTTAGCACCTGTGAATCGGGGGTCACTGCCTGCCTCCTGTCCAGTGCTGCCCCGCAGGCTCCAGGAGGGCAGGGGCAGCGTCTGAGTCCTCAGCCTGACAAGGTAGATGCTCACTAAATTATGAAAAAAGTGATATTCAGTGAGAAATATTTATTTGGTCAGGGATAGAAATATAAAAGGCTCAATCTGTCCCCTCAGGCATCTGCAGTCTAGTGAGGGACAATAAGAAAACAGGAAATCACAGTGAAAAAGTAAGGAACACAATCAAGAGAGGTGATAGCCTCCACCAGGGAGGTGATAACCACAACCAAAGGAGGGGTCTTGGTCCCTTTGGCCTGTGGTAGCAAAAATACCATAAACTAGCTGGCTTAGAAACAACAGAAATTTAATGCTCACGGTTCTTGGGGCTGGGAAATCCAATGTCAAGGCGCCGGCAGATTGGGTGTCTGGGGAGGGCTCACTTTAGTTCATAGATGGCGCCTTCTTGCTGTGTCCTCACGTGGCAGAAGGGGCACACGAGCTCCCTTGGGCCTCTTCTGTAAGGGCACAAATCCCACTCGTGAGTCCTCTGCCCTCATGACCTAGTCACCTCCTTAAGGTTCCGCCTCTTAATACTATTGCCTTGGGGATTAGGTTTCCACACATGAATTTTTGGGGACACATTCAGACCACAGCAGGAGGTGGTGGTAAGTACAGGGCCGGGGTGGGGGTGATGGCCAGGAGCTCCTTCCTAGAGGAGACGAGGATAGAGCAGGTGCTGGGAGGAAGGGTGAGGACTATCCTGGGAAAGGGGTGCAAGGGGAGCATTCTGGGCGGAGGTGACACTAGCTGGGATGTGGGAGGGTGGGGAGTTCGGGGGGCTGTGGAGCAGAGCAGGAGGTCGCTGTCTTCTTGGGCTCCGCCCCTTTCATGGGTAGGCAACATGGCTCAGAACCCTCAACCCACTTTGCATTTCAGTTGATGAAGGTCGTGAACGAAATGTGCCCCAATATCACCAGAATCTACAACATCGGCAAAAGCCACCAGGGCCTGAAGCTGTATGCCGTGGAGATCTCTGACCACCCTGGGGAGCACGAAGTCGGTAAGCAGGGCCCTCTGGGAGGCCGGAGACCGGTAACCTGAGAACATTCGTGAAACAGGGCACCAGCTGTCCATGCAGTGACCCTCTCCATAGACAAATTCTGCACTTGTTGATGTCTGATCTTACGATAGGGTCCATAGAATTATTTAAACTAGAAATACCCGCCTTTGCTCCAAGGGGACCATATTTAATTCTGTGTTCTCCACTTCTAGTCACAACAGCCAGGGAAGAAAGTGGCTGGGGACAGTTAGGACAGAATTTCCTTCTCTTCCAGTACTCTGTGATCAGTAATGGCTCAAATTAGAAAGCTTTCCCTCCCTTTTTAAAAAAAGTTTCAATTCTGTTTTTAGATATTTCCTGTTTTTCAGCCATTTCCCACCCAATCGCTCCCCAGCCTGTGTTCCTGCAGGTCGGGTGGGCTTCTCTGGTTCTTTTTTTATTTTTTTAGTAAATCTGGGAGATCTTTAGAACTTTGCTGATATTTAGGTACAAAGATTTGTCTGATTCATTCAACTTTAACATTCATCAACATCTCAGGTTTCTTTTACATGGCGAAAGCTTCATGTGCTGGTGAGATCAGTGTCCCCACGGCAGCAGCTTTGCCGGGGAGGGAAGGAAGGAGCTGTGTCATCTGCCTCTGCCCAGAGCTGACAAAGCCCAGGCCTGAGTCTGCTCGGGCTGCTGTGGCAAAATACCTGAGGTGGGGGATCTGTAGACAGCAGAGATTTATCGCTCACTGTTCTGGAGGCCGGGAAGTCCGAGACCAAGGTGCCAGCAGCTCAGTGCCTGGAGAGGGCCTGCCCCGCTGGGGCGCCTTCTAGCTGTGTCGTAACGTGGCGCGGGGGAAGGGCGAAAGTGCAGACTAGTTCCCTGGAGCCCTCGTATAGGGGCACCAATCACATTGAGTCTTAGGGAACAACATAGGAATTGGGGGGGCACATACATTAAACCATAGCACCCCCAATGTTTCAAAAGCTGAGCTTTGAAGGAGGAAAAACTCCAAGACTGCCCCGTTTACAAAATGGTGTCACTGCCGATTTGCCTGATAGACTGTTTTCTGCTTATATTCATTCATCTTTGTGTCTTTGTAAAACTTACTAGAAAGTTCTTTTAAGAAAAATAATTGCCTCCCAGATGATAAAAATAATTGCTGTGGCTTATGTTCAACTTGTAAATTGTAAACCCTAAACGCTACGCTATTTTATCTGTTCTTGGTAAATAAGAATGAACATTATCACTGCGTGACTGGTATCACGTATGCTTTTTCTAGATATTTTCTTATATACCTGACTGTCTGGGAACAAAGAAATTGTCCTGACATAATTGTAGAGGTTTAACTGAAAGAATAGGGCTGAAATTGTAAGTTTATATTAGTATTATGCAGAGATTTTCCCACAACACAATGTGATAAGCACTGTTTGGCTGCGAGCATCTCAGCATGCACCTGTTTCCCTCCGTCTTTGCGTGAAGGTGAGCCCGAGTTCCACTACATCGCCGGCGCCCATGGCAACGAGGTGCTGGGCCGCGAGCTCCTGCTGCTGCTGCTGCAGTTCCTGTGCCAGGAGTACTTGGCCCGGAATGAGCGCGTCGTCCACCTGGTGGAGGAGACCCGGATCCACATCCTCCCCTCTCTCAACCCCGATGGCTACGAGAAGGCCTATGAAGGGGTAATGGCCCTGCACCCCTCCCCCACGCCAGCGGCAAAGCCCCGCTCCAGAGTATGCCCGGCCAGGAGTCTGTGAAATCCCACCTTACAAGCTTTACGTTTGAGTGTCTCTGCTGACACAGGGCAGCCCACAATGCTTACGCAAGATGCAAAGCAGGAGTTGAGAATTACGGTGACCCTGAGAGCTGGACATGCCAACTAAATGGAGAAAGTGAACGAGATAACAATATTGCCACACATACAATGATGAGTGTACAATAGGAACACCTATGTTGCCTGAGCACTTGATCGTGGCGCTAACCTTGGTTATTGCCTTTAATTCTCTCATCAGTCCTCTGAGGAGAGTTGTTTTTGTTGTTTTGGTATATTGTTTATATCTCCTGTTCCAGTTATGATGCGGAATTTGTACAGATGATAAGTATGCATGGAGTACACATATGTACTAATAGACTTACGTATATAGAGAATATAGAGCATAGTTAGTATTATATCGTGTTGTGTATCCAGACTGATATATCACAATGTGTGGGGATGAAATGGAAAACTGTATTTAAAGCAATGGTACCTACCAAATGCAAGCTTTATGTTACAGAGCGCAGACGTGCAGAACTTGGGCTGTGTATATTGGTGCACACAGTTGTTAGGGATCTGCGTGTTAAATAGTGAGCCAGACTCGTGGCAAGGCAGGGAGGATGCATTGCTGTGGCGGCTCTTGATCCTGCGATGATGGACGCGTCACCACTCAGAGGTTCTGCTGAGCAGCGTGGAAGGGAGGAGGGCAGGGTGAAAGATGGGACCAATACTCTGAGCAGGGGTGGCCTCTGCATTCCCTCCTTGAAGAAAGTGGCTGCATCACCCGTTACCCACCGAATATTAACTGAAGGCTTTTCAGCATTCTCTTTGGGATGCCATCCTTGGGTCAAAGGGCATCCAGAGATGCCCCAAGGGGGGGCGGACACAGGTGCATCTAGTATGGCAGAAAGTCAGGATTTCGCTGCAGCCTGTGGGTTCCTCACACTCCGATTTGTTCTCAGGGCTCGGAGCTGGGGGGCTGGTCCCTGGGGCGCTGGACCCACGACGGGATAGACATCAACAACAACTTCCCCGACTTAAACACGCTGCTCTGGGAGGCCGAGGACCGGCAGAACAGCCTGAGGAAAGCTCCCAATCACTATATTGCAATCCCTGAGTGGTTTCTGTCGGAAAATGCCACGGTGAGTAAAAATATCCCGCATTTGTAGAGCAGCGGAAGGCCAGGCGTAACCCCGCTGGTATTTGCAGAGGATGTGACATTTAACAACGAGACAAAACCACTTTTTCTTTCATGTTTTCTCTAAAAAAGCAGGGAAATGTGCTAGATAATAACTACCTTTTAAATTGATATTCGGGGAGATTCTTCTTAGAAGCGAAATCATTTAATTATATTTCTTAACAAATATATAGTGCTGCAAAACCAAAACAGCCTTTCCTGAAGTGTGCATGCTGTTACTGCCATGGCCGTCCTCACCGCTGTCAGCCACACCACGGTGAAATTGTCCTTAGCCTTCACAGAGTGCTTCATATATTTTATTTTTATTTTAGTGAGTCCCCACGGGATTACTCTGTGTGGTGTTTCTTTGGAAAGAAAAGTGAAATTGGATGATAAATGTTTACCCCAAATTTCTCAGGTCTTGTTTCACAAAGAGTATGTTGTAGAAGAAATAATTTTCGCAGAATGCCCTGTGCCTTTTATTGCCTTCTCTGACCACAGTAATTGGCCTCTTTACCCTTATTCTTTGGTCGTATTTGTCCTTCTCGAGGTCTGCCTTGATAGGTGTATAAGTTAGTGTTCGGTTCAGCTGCAGCAATAGAAAAATCAAAATAACAGTGGCTTAGCAAGGTAGAAGTTTCTTACTTTTGTCACATAAAGGTGCCCTGGAGGCAGATGGGTCAGTGGAATAGAAACCCCATGACCATCAGGAGACCAGGGTTCATCCATCTTTCTGGCTCGACCTTGTTAGCATGCCACATTCACCCTCAAGGTCATAATCCAAGGTGGCAGTGGGTGTTCTAGCTGTCATGTCTGCGAAGGAAGAAGAGGGAAAGGGCTTACAAAAAAAGTTCTCCTCTCAGATAATTCAACTTCCTGTAAGAGGCATTGCTAGAATTCCTGCATAATGCTCCTGCTTAGAGATCATTGTCCAGAATCCAGTTGCACATGGTGTTAGCCACTGCAGGGAAGGCTGGGAAGTGCTGTATTTTAGGCAAACGCGTTGCAAGCTCAGAAATGATGTCTCCATCGAGGAACCCCAGGAGCTGGGTACAGGACAGCAGCTCTCCTGCTCAGCCTGAGAGTTGCAGCCTGGATCCAGAACAGCACGTCGGGCTGCCACTTACTCGGGGAGGCCAGCACGGTGGTCTCATTTAGTGACTCACAGTACAGTGTCACCCAGGCCCTCAAGAGCAAGCAGTACAGTGATGGAGACAGACAGTGGCCGTGCCACTTGGCTTAGTTAGGGGGCCCAACGGCGCCGACGCGGGCAAGAGATGGGGGGTAGCCCTCTGAGTCTTCTGTCTTCTGGTCCTTCCTCATGTTTCCTAATTCCAACCCACAGAACCCCTGCTTTGTTTTGGTTTTTTTTTCCAACTAATGTCCTAATGACACTTGGCGAAGGTGAGAATTCAAGTGATGTTATAATTTGGGAACATTTGAACCAAAATTGGAATTTGGATGCCAGCTTTTGTAGGCCTGAGGCTACGAGAGATAAGTAATTATTTTAGCACAGGCTTACAAAGGCCCTGGATCTCAGTCTTTGCTTTCAGACCAGAATTTGGTTTTTTGAGTTTGTCCTTCTCTAGAATTATAGGGAGAATTACACCAGTCTGTCATCACCAATACCTTTTCTCAATTATAGATAAATTAAATAGATGAGATATCAGCAAACATAAAGATTTGGATAACAAAATTAACAGGCTTGACATAAGGGGCCTATAAGAATGCAACAACCAATAATTAGAGAATATTCTTCTCAATAATTGTGGAACATTTTCAAAAGTTGATGATGAACTGGGCTGTAAAGGAAATCTCAGCAAATTTGAGAGAGTAGGATTCAGGCAGACCATGACCTTGCTCCAGAACATCTAAACTAGAAGACAGTAATAAGATTAATGAAAACATCATCATGTATTTAGAAAATTTTTTAAAAAAACCTCCTCTTAGATAATTCAGTTTCCAGTAAGAGGCATTCCTAGAATTCCCACATAATACTTAAAAGAATAGATCAAAGAAAAATTCATACTGACAACTAAAAAAAAAAATAGAACTGAATGATAATGGAAATATTACATATCAACATTTTTGGAGTGTAGCAAAAATTAGTGCTTTAGGTAAATCTATACTTTTAAGTGATTTTATTGCAAAAGAACAAAGGCTGAAAATAAACTAGCTTAAGAAGTTAGCAGAAGAATAGCAGAAGAAACCCAAAGAAACTAGGAAGACTGTGATTAGAAAGAGCAAAAGTCAATGAAATGAGAGAAAACAAAGAAATAATATGAAGCAATTTGTCTACTGAAAGAAGCATTTGATAAAATTTAATAATCATTCACAATAAAATCTCACAGTAAAACTTTAGAATATACCCTTCAGTATGAGGAAGGCTGTTTTAGGCAAGACGCAAAGTGCATTAATCATAAACAATGAATAAATCCAACTACATGGCAATAAGAGATTTAAAAGTTTTTTAAATGTTAATGTTAAATGTTACCAAAAGCTCAGCACTTGTCCTCGAGGCCACATCAGAAGAATAAGAACAAGTAGTTTGAGGAGAAGGAAAGAGAAGTTTATTACTTTGCCTGCAAAGGAGGAAAATGGCAGACTATTGGCTCAGAGTCCAAATTCCTCTACATAAGCAGAAATACAGAGCTTTTAAAGGGAGGACACTCAGTTCTAGGCTATTGTAATTTAACTATAGTTGATGATTCTAATGTTCTATCTCTGCCTGAAGACAAAGCCTGTGACCTCCGCCCACCTGGGAGGCCCACCTGGGATGGAGCCGACAGTTCAGCTGAGCTGTTTTCTGTAACACAAAGAACAAAAGACACTCCCCTGCCCCTCAGACCACCTGCCCAATGCAGGGATGCAGGTCTTAGTTCCCAAAAAGACTGGGAGAAGTTTTAAAGAGACAGAAAACATCTTTTTCCTTTTTTTTTTTGCAGGCCATTGCCTCTATTCCACTAAGACAAGCTAAAAACTGGAAGAAGTTATTTGCAAATTATATAACTGAGAAAATTAGAATTTTAAAATATGTAAAGAATAACAAATAAGAAAAATATAAACAGCTCAGTAGAAAAATGGACAAAAGACATGAAGAGGCAATTCACGGAGGAGGAGACAGATGATTAATAAACATGAAAGGATGTTCTCCCTCACTAGTACTAATGCAATGCAGGTGGGAGAACATCTTACACTCATTGTTTGGCAAAATTAAGAAGTCTGACAATACTCAGGTGTTGGAGGGGACGTGGGACAATGGATCTCTTACACATTGTGGGTGAGTGTAAATTAGCACAAGTTTGGAAAATAATTTTATTACCTCGTAAAGAGGAATATTTATATACCCTATGGTTCTGCAATTCCAGTTCTGGTGATGTATGCAAGACAAATTCGAGCACATGTGTAGGAGAAGACAGTATGAGAAAGTTCAAAGCAACACTGTTTACTATGGCAAAAAATTAAAATTATCTAATGCCCATCACCGTAAGAATAGATAAATGAGATCTTCATATTGAAGTGAAAAAGCCTGAACAAAGCTTTATTCAACAATAGGTATGAATCTTAGACATACAAAACTGAGTGAGGAAAAAAACAAATTGCAAAAGACAAGCATCGGTATGGTTTCTCCCGCCCCTGCCTTTGGATCAAAAGCAAGTAAAACTAAATGGTGTATTTTTAGGCATACACATATAGGATAAGACAAAAGAGAGAGAATGTGAATCATGTCATTTTTAGGATATAGTGATTACCTCTGGCGGGAAGCAGGAGGGTGGATAGATGGAATCAAGAGGCACAGTTTTCCTGAGATCTGGTCCTGGGGTTGGATGGTGGGTTTGTAGGTGTTTATTGTATTAAAATATATAACAGAAAAGGACCAAGCACAGACCCACAATGACACTGTGAAATGAACTAGTTCTATGATTAGTCCGATCCAGGGTCCCTGATATGTTTAAAAAGCAAAAACAAAACTTAAATGAATCCCATCAAGTCCATTTCACTCCTTAATCAATTCTCTATACTGCACAGTTAAATGATTTCCAGTGTTTATTTCTTTGTCATTATCGATTTTATCTTACAGAAATTATCTTCATAGAGATTCGTAATTTATGACAGATATTTGATTCACTGATCAGTATTTGACCATATCAAACTTTACAATTTTAGCTTTTAACACAGTTTTCTTTTCTTCTGTTAACTTTTTATCATAAAAAAATGTCAAACATCCAAAATTAGAAAGCTATAAAGGATCCCCGTGGACCCTTCTCAGCTTTGACACTGAATCAATTCATGTTTCAAATACCCCTTCACCCACTTTCTCCTCCTCCTCCAGATTATTGAAGCAAATCCCAGGCATTATATCATTTCATTTGCAAATATTTCAGTAGGTATCCCTGAAAAATCAGGATGCACTTTTAACACCATCAAGTCTTGCCATTGTTATATCAAAATAAATTATTTCTTACTATTCTAAAATACCTGGTCAGTGTTCGTGTTTCCTCTGTTACCATCCCCCACCCTCCAGTTTATTTAAATCAGGTCCAAATAAAGCCCATTCATTCTGATTGGCTTAGAAGCCTTTTTAAGTTTCCTTTAAGTTTTCCCAGGACAGGTTTTGAAATTCCAAATTTTCCTTAGATTATTGCATAAAATAATGGCTTTTCGAATATGCTCCTATTTTAAAAGCTAGAGAAAGAAAGCAGTTTCCTTCCTACTTTATTTATCAGTTTCAATGCTCACAGGTGGCCGCGGAGACCAGAGCAGTCATAGCGTGGATGGAAAAAATCCCCTTTGTGCTGGGCGGCAACCTGCAGGGGGGCGAGCTGGTGGTGGCCTACCCCTACGACATGGTGCGGTCTCCGTGGAAGACCCAGGAGCACACCCCCACGCCCGACGACCACGTGTTCCGCTGGCTGGCCTACTCCTACGCCTCCACGCACCGCCTGATGACAGACGCCCGGCGCAGAGTGTGCCACACGGAAGACTTCCAGAAGGAGGACGGCACCGTCAACGGGGCGTCCTGGCACACCGTCGCGGGAAGTAAGCCTCTGTCCGGGCCTAGGGGACATCACAGGCCCAGCGACAGCGGGCTGCCATGACCACTGTTGCCTGCGGCATTATTGCTAAAGGACGATGCCATAGTCAGGCACTTGCCAGGTGCGGGCCTTTGACTAAGCAGTCACAGGAGCCCGCCTGTGATCCTTGCCGCGGGCTTTGGAGGGGTGTGCCTTCCTCCCGGGTCATAAATACACGACTGGGGCTCGGCTCCAGAGGGATCTGCTCACGTGAGGAAGGAGCAGAGCTGGTGTCTGTTTGACCGTGGCCTACTCTTAGCCGCTGCGCTGTTCGGATTTTACAGGGCTAGAGATGGGTGCAGTTGGACTTAGTGGCAATATTGGAGCGAACCAAACAATCAGAAAAGCCAGGGAGGAGCAGAGGGCGTGCTCGTGCTGGCGCAGAAGCAGGGCTTCTCGCCCGGAGCCCTTCTTATTCTGGGCGATGTCCCGTGCTGTCAACCCGCAGCAGGGGCTGGGCATTGATCCCAAGCTCAGGGGTGAAGTGACTCCGAGCTTCAGGGGTGTTCTGAGACCCGACATGTGGTGAAGACCGTTTCGTACATATCCGCCACCCACTGGCAGTCAGCATGCCGGGCCCCCATCCCAGCCACAGCGCGTGGTCAGCGCCAGCGGTGTGGGCGGTGGGAGGTGTTGCTCCTGGCATCCACATTGGGACTTCTACTAGAGACTTCAGGAACCCCCTTGAAGCAGCCAGAGGACCCCGTGGTCCGCATGTCAGGACTGTTTTCAGCCCAGGTTCCTAAACCAGGGGGGATGAGGAGGTCCTATTCCCTAAGGTCCCTCTGTATTGGATCGCAAGACCCCAGGCATAATGCGCATTGCTTATTTCTTCACTTTGTGAGGGTCCATCAAGCCCATGATGAATTTGAAAAATATTCTGTGTCAGATAGACGGGGGCTTAAAGCCTACTCTATCATTTGATTACTGTGTGACTCTGGGAAAGTTACTTTACCTCTCTGAACCCTCATACTTTCCATTTGTAAAATGGGCATGCTGCTGCTGCTGATGACGATGGTAACATCTCCTTCTGGGATGCTGTGAGGATCACATCAGGGCAGGGCGTGGCTGTGCCCAGCTTCTGACTTACCAGAAAGGCTCAGTTATGACAAGTTCCCCCCTCCCACAACTCCTTCCTTTCAGTAGCATGCTCGCCACGAAATCCGTGTTATGAGCATATCCTTACTCTCTGTTTCACCACACTAATTAATTAGCTTTAATATTATTTTATTTTGCTACTTTTCAAGTATGTTTCCACCCTTGGGAAAAGAAAAAAAAGTAGGAATATTCGTTTCTGTGACCATGCGAGAACATGTGCAAGCTTGCCGTGTTTTCTCGGTCACAGAGCAAGCAGAGGCATCTTATCTGTCTCCATCATGAAATAAAAAAATAAATGCAAATCTCTGTCAGGAAAATTTCCCGATGGCAAAAACACTTTTGTTTTTCAATTTTTGCCCTAAAAGCCTCCCTACAAAACTCTTTCAGCGCGACGTCTGTTTATGTTTCGTGGCTGCGGTGACTGAGTCGGGTCTGGACACAGCTGGATCCCAGTGTCGGGTCAGCAGTAGGTTCTGAGAAGGGGCTGCTGCATAATCGCATTGACAGCGTTTGATTCTTTTCCTATCAATTACATTTTCCGTTATTTCAGGGACTTTGTGGCAGAGCCACGTGGTGGCTCGAGCCTTTTTAGTCATTCTTCTTCCTGGCGGTGTGACGAAGTCTGCAGATTCACGTCTTTGTAGTTTAATGAAATATGATTTCTCATTTCCTCCCCTCCCCCCGCATCTCCACCTTTCCGCTCAGCTCTTTCCCACGCGTGGACAGTGCACTGCCACGCGCCACGTGTTGGGGAGTGGGCCGGCGGCGAGCAGGGTCGCACATTTCAAATGCTCACCATTCACAATGCGCACACTCGTTCCAGAGGGCCATGGTCCTCCCTGTTCCTCGCTGCAGTGCCCACCCTCTCCTGCGCAGAGAAGCGGGCGTGTGATAGCGTCAGGGACACGTCTCTGCGTTCCACGTTGAAGTGGTGATAAGAGAAGGAGTCCAGTCAGAGAGAGAACACAAGGGAACATCTTGCCATCCCCGCCCAGGACTGAAGGCTTGTAAAGAACTGGGGAGGTCACAGCCCCTCGTCTACGTGCCTCAGACAGGAAGTGGCATTTGGCTTTCAAAGCCATTCCCTGGTCAAGGCGACACTCTCTGGACACAAGGCCCATGCCTCCCCACAGCTCTGCTGGTTCCTCGTCATGCTGCCAATTTTTCTAGAACTTCTAGTGCTTTGAACACATATTGCTAAGTGGCAGGTCACTCTGGGATTTTTAAATATCACATTTATTTCAGGACTAGCAAGGCCTAAAAGGGTGGGAATAATGATAATTTTATGTGCAGAGAGGAGTCCAGCCCTCCCAGGAAGTCAAACCTGTGCTCACCAGTGACTTTGTTGTCCCCTGGCCTCCTCCTGCCCTCTGCAATGCCTCACTGCGGAGGTGACTGGATGACCTTTGACCAACCTCCCTTAACCCGGCCAGGCCGGTGCGGAGGATTCCCCACTGACTGCCGCCTCCTGGCCTCTCACGCCACTGTGCTTACTGTTCCTGGTTTTCTCACGAGTGTGCTCTGAGGTCTGTTGTGATGACACGTGCGTGGTTCCCAGCTGGAATCCGGCAGGGACTGGCCCTATCTTGGGTACCATCTTGCCTCTGACTTTAGCAGATTGATACAGAGTTGCTCTTGACATCCAAAGCCATGGATTTGAAACAGACGTTTAGACGGAGCATCGCAGGAGTGGGTCCCACGGTGAGCTCAGTGAGAAGGGAGGAAGAAAGGATGTCCGAGAGCGTGGTTGGTGGGCGCTCAGCAGCCCCTCTCCTTCTCTGGGTCCGTGCGGAGCCCGGCCCACCCAACTTCCACTTTCTGTGACGCTGACCCTCAGAACCCAGGGAGGGCTGGGTTTAGAGGAGCCTCCAGACACTTACGTGGAACATAGCCTGCTAATCATCCTGTTCAAAAACAGAAGTGTCGGGAAGAAAGCCACCAGTGCTTCTTGCCGTCTAACACTCCTCTATGCATTTCACAAACACTGGGCAGTGCAGCGGGTGGAGTGGTGGCCCCCAAAGCACGTCTGCTTTCTAAAACCCAGAACCTGCGGATGTTACCTTATTTGGAAAATGCGTCTTTTCAGGTGTGATTATGTTAAGGGTCTCCAGATGGGATTATCCTGGGAAACCTGGATGGGCCCTAAAATCAGTGGGCAGTGTCCTTATAAGGGACAGAAGAAGAGAAGACACGGAAGCAGAGGAGAAAACCGTGAGAAGATGGCAGAGATCTGAGCGATGCAGCCTCAAGGCAAGGAACGCCCGGGGCCACCAACAGCTGGAAGGAGCAAGGAAGGATTCTCCCCTGGAGACTGTGGAGGGAGCACAGACACCTTGATTTCAGACTTCTGGTCTCCAGAACTGTGAGAGAATAAGTTTCTGCTGTTTTAAGCCACCCAGTTTGTGGTCGTTTGTAACGGCAGCCCTGGGAGATGAAAACAGAGGCCAACCACGTGCCAGGCTGGGTGCTACCTGTCCTACGTGGGCCCATCGGGCTGCAGACTGGGCTTCCTGGGTGAGTGAGTGTGCCCTGCTGTCCCCAGCCAGCCATGCTCTATGTGGGGACAAGAGCAAGGATTTGTTGTTACACAGACTTGGGCTCAAGCCCCAAGTCTAGCCCTTTCCAGACACGTGATCTTGGATACGATTCTCCCCATTCTCAATCTCAGTTTTCTTATTTGTGAACTTTGCTATGCCATCTACCTCTGCTGGGTTTGGGGTGAAGATTAAGTGGCCTAATGGATACAGATGCTCCGGACAGATCTGGCTTGTGTCAGGCACTCACCAGTGGTGGTAGGGATAGTTGTGTTACGAATCAGAATAAAGAACTGTCACAGTGCTATAGCGAGACAGCATAACTATAGAGATACATTTAATTAAACACTTAAAATCTATAGTGGCAATTGATGATACTGTTATTCTAAAAACGATGTGTTAAACTGAGTTTAATGAAATAGATATTTTATCTAAAAAGCACTTATTTGAGTCCTTCTTTTGTCAAAGACGCCCTTGCATGTTTGTGTCCTCGCCATAAACCGTTCTAGCCTCATGCTCTCCCCCCGGTCTCTCCAACCCACACACATTTGCTCAAAAGCAAATTTTTATCTATAGTAGATACTTGTCACTGCCCTGTTCATTGAAGTCTTCTGAATGTTCTTAAATGTTCTTTCTGCCCCCCCGACCCCTGCTGCCCTGTGCCGCGTTGAGCACTGCTCCATTACAATGCTGTCCCATTGGCTTGGCAGGTCTGAACGATTTCAGCTACCTTCACACAAACTGCTTCGAGCTGTCCATCTACGTGGGCTGTGACAAATACCCGCACGAGAGCCAGCTGCCCGAGGAATGGGAGAACAACCGGGAATCTTTGATCGTGTTCATGGAGCAGGTACGGCGTTGGCACATGGCCGTGCTGGGGGAGACTAGCTAAGAATGAGGCCCAGGAGGTGGCTGAAAGCATGGGATGGAGTCAGCTCTGTAGACTGTGGCCACCTGGGGCCACAGCGTTGCAAGGAGCCAGTGTCTGTGTACACTCGCTCGGACCCCAAGGAAGTGAGCTCTAAACTCACGGCGATCGCTGCCACTGGCTCAGGGTGGGTGGCACCAGTCCAGGGGCTCTCGTGCTGCTCTGTGGGGAGCAGGCCATACATGTTTGAGTCAACACGAATAGGCCCCTTGTCTTAGTCCGCCTGGGTTGCCATCACAAAATACCGCAGAACAGGCGGCTTAAATAGCAGACATTTATTCTCCCACCGTTCTGGAAGCTGGGAGCCCAAGATCAAGGTGCTGGCAGGTATGGTGTCCTCTGAGGCTTCTCTCCTGGCTTGCAGGTGGCTGCCTTCATGCTGTCTCTTTACCTGGTCCTCCCTTAGGCATCCCTCCTCTGGGCCTTCTTATAAGGACACCTGCCATACTGGATTAGGACCTACCCTAACAACCTCATTCTAACTTGATTATCTCTCCAAATACAGTCATATTCTGAGACACTGGGATTAAGACTTCAATATATGAATTTGGGGGGGACACAATTCAGCCCAAACACCTCCCCGAGGCCTCCAGAGTCACTGTTGCAGGTGGCAGAAGTGAGTTACCTGGGAGCAGGTATAACAAGTACCAACTGAAGTTCTGCTGGCCAGCTGGGGAGGGCCCTTGCTGTCTTCATTAGGGACTTCAGACACCTTCCCTGCCCCATGCTCTCAAGGACACGCCCATCTTGTAGCATTAATGAGTTAACCAGTGCTAGTTTAGTGTTATAACTAACTTAGCCCCACTAAGAAACAGACTAACTGGAAACCAAAGGAATAAACAAAAACAAATGCTGAGCGTCAGGGCTCCTGCCATTTGTAAGTATCAGACATATGGCTCCATCTTCTCCGCCATCCATCAGGAAGTGAGATCTGAGGCTACACGGAGGTTGCCCTTCTCCCCAGAGTGGTCGGAGACGAGTCAGAAGATGCACTCAGCTGAGGGCTTGGACTGCCAACTTCCTGGTCCCTGTGGCTGCACCTCTGCACAGCTGGCAGAGTTTGGAACCAGGATGGAGCATCTGAGTCTGCCCCTTGGGGGTCCTGGCAGGCTCGGTGCAGCCCCCAGTGAGCTTCCCTGGCACAGAAGGGTGTGGGCCTCTTCTTCTCTTTTAGGGAAATGTCTCACTCAAGGAGCTTCTGCCCCCACCCTGGAGTTTCTTGAGGGAAGGCTCTTTTCCTTTTGCATACATGTAAAGAGAGAAGGCCTTGACTGTAGCAAGCTGATCATTCTTAAGTAATGATGCAATTTAGCCAAAGTGCCTCCTATGGGTAAAATGCCTGGGCACAGTAATATGTGTAAAGAAAGCCACTGGAAATGATGGTAGGTCACCTTGGATTGTCACATCATTCTACCGATAGGGAAACTGAGGCACGAGGTTCAGAGTTGGTGTCTGTGCTGTAACACGGCTAATCACTGGGAGAGGCCCACACAGAGCTGTCACTTGTAAGAAGGTCTCTTTGATTCTTTTCTTTCCTCTCCGACTGTTAAGTCATTAAGTCCGTATAGTCCAGGAAAGTCAAAATAAATGTGCTTATAAAAATTAAATTCCAATTTTTAGTGGGTATATTTTTATGAACTATCTCAGATCCTAATATTTTTTAAGCCTTTGGAATATTTTAATTCTAATGGAAGATTTTCTGGTGCACGGGCCCAAAGGGAGTGCAGAAGAGTTTACGCAGCAAATGCACACACGGCCCGGCGAGCCTTTTGAGCGAGATGTGGTGCTGGGAGTTCCTGGTGGGGACGGGGCCGACCTTAGGCTTACAGCCCGGTCCGCTGCGCTGGCTGTGTCCAGGGCTGGTTGGGACCTCACCCTGTGTCTCATCCTGTTTGCTGAGCAGATTCATCGCGGCATCAAAGGCGTGGTGAGAGATTTGCACGGAAAAGGAATTCCAAATGCTGTTATCTCCGTAGAAGGCGTTAACCACGACATCCGAACAGGTAACTGCAAATGCATACAAACTATTTCTTGGCAAGAAATACCCGTTGTCCTGAAGTGTTTTACTTGAATTACAATCATCAGCTGAGTGCCAGGAACTTCCTACTCAGAGCCGAATGAGAGGCTCCTTCCTCTGACTCTCCACTGTTCAAGAGGCCTCGAAAGCGAGCTTTGTACCCTGTGCTCTCTGGCTCATCCCTGTCCCTCCTGCAGGACGGGCGTGGAGCAGCCAGCCACCTTCTAGGTTCCATGGAAGTTTCTGAGAAGTTGAGGAAGGAGCTCTTTCTCTGCGGGATTGTGACATACGTAGGCAGCTTGGCTCCCAGACCGGGCAGGATGTGGCCCGTGCAGTGAGCGCTGCTGGGACAGGGGCGGGCAGGCAGGCTGCTCCGAGAGGCAGAAGCTGCAGGCTCGGGTGGACGCAGCAGGGCTGGCTTGGAGAGTCCCACAAGGGCGGCAGCAGCGGACCGCTGGGAGATTAGGGTCGGCCTTCGGTGCCCATCCACAGAGGATGGGGAAGATGCAGTTTTTCCATTAAGCCACAGGAAACCACTGAACATGATGTTTTAGGAAGACTTAGGTATTGGAAAGATTAAATAATAATATCATTAACAATAAGCTCACTGTCTTAATAGCTTTACATGTATTAACTCAGCTGCTCCTCACAGCAATCCTATTTTCTCGATGCTGTCGTTAGCTGTGGAAATGAGGCCCATGAAGAACTGCAGCAGGGAGACCCAGCTCCCACCTGCTATAAGTCACGAGTGGTGTTAACGAGTCAGAGTTGGCGCATGTGATTTGCATTCCAGTGGAAAGGAGAAAATTCTAGAATCTTAGATAATCTGAAAGTCAGAGGATGATCTCTAAAAATCAATGCTAAAATCTTGTTCCAACTCCATAGAAGAAAAGGGATTGTAAGACCTGGGGTCTTATAAACCAAACACGGTTTTCAGTTCCTAAAATTCCAAAATAATCTCACATTTTTAAATGCACTTACAAAGCGGCCGCACCACCCCAGGACAGCAAAAGACAGTCCTGCAGCCCAGGGGTCACTGAGCAACAGCAGGAACGCGGTGCTGTTTCTCACGTGATCTGTTCTCAAAGAACCTGCGTGCGTGTTTTCTCTCACTTCTTTCCCTCGAGCCCTTTGAGGGACACGGGCCTTTCTTTCCCACTTGTCTGGGTTAAAAGAAGCTCCAAGAGGTTAGTTGACCCGCTGAAGGTTTGAGAGGTGAGTGGGCTTGAGTCCGGGTCTCTGACTCCTGGGCGGGCTGGAAAATACCCTGCGGAGGCTCTGCGGGAGCCGCACCGAGAGGCTGCCCTGTGCTTTGCTCATTACAAAGTGGTAAGAAAACAAAGGTCCTCGACAGGTCCAGCTTTTCCCTCTGAGCCCCAGGCTGTCATCACCTGGGATGGCCCAGTTTAAACGGAAAATGCCGTGTCCCAGGAAGCCCCCCAGCCCCAGGCAGGCAGGGATGGTTGCTGCCCACCACCCAATCCTCACTCTTCCTTGTGGACCAAGCCACGTGTGGGCTCATCTCTGTCGCTCCTCCTTCCACCTGAGCCTTCTTCCCCAGGGAGTCCCCTGGTTCCATCCTCGTCCCCTTCAGGTCTTTGCTCAGATGTCACCATCTCGGTGTGGCCAACCCCGACCACCCTGCTGAGCACTGCACGCCTGCCCTGCTGCCCTGTTGGTCCCTCTTGCCTGTCCCAACTTTGTCCTTTTCCCGTGGCACTTCTAACATATTGTAAAATAAGCTAATATTTTTTGTGCTTACTAATTGTTTCTGCCTCCCCCCACCCCCCACGAGGGCAGAGATCCAAGCACACTGCATACGCTGGTGGGTGTTCTCAGTGACTACTTCTTGAGCGAATGGCTGAACGGACGTTACGTGTGTCTCCAGGATTGCACAGCAAGCGGCAGAGCTGATTAGAGCCAAGCGCTGGAGACTCCAAGTCCAGTGCTCCTTTCTGTAGCCCCAGACTGTCTCACGTGAGTGGTAGGAGAGGCCCTTTCCTGCGGACTTGTTCAGATGTGAACAGAGCCTTTCCTACCAGCAAATGATCCCATTCGACCCTCCAGGAAGCAGAGACTTTGGGGCATTAGGACGAGTGAGGCTGGGATTCGGACCTGGCTGTGTATTCTTCCATGCCAGGCTGCCTGCTGATGTCCCTGGCATAGAAGGCCAATTATTCAAAATAGATGAAATGTGTCTGAAATGCCACAAAATAGTAAACAGCTGTGTAATGCCATACGTCACCTTCTTTCTATCTAGTTATCAATTTCTTCACTCAATAATATTTTCTGAACATTCCTACCACTTGACCTTGATCTTATAGCCATGGACCATGAGATCTCTCACTGCATAGCATGGAATTTTGTACACCGTATCCCCTGATAGGCATCCATGTACATTTCCTCACTCACTTATTCATTTATACATTTATTAGTTCAACAAGCGTGGATTCGAAACATTGCCTATAAGCTCCTTTAAAAGAGTAACTCATAAAAGAGCCTGGAACATTCCTTGGACTATTTGGCGCCTCGTATGCAATGTGCGAAAACATGAGGGTTTTAAACTGAGTGGGAGATAAAAAGGCCCTGGGGCCCCCTAAGCTGGGATGAGAATACTTTGCCTAATGGGCTCTGAATTTCAAGCCCCGGCAATCAAGGAGACTATTTTGATGAGCTAATGGGAAATGCGTCTCTCCTCCTTAATTCCCCCCATAAATCATTTCCCAGTGTGATTCTCACGGCAGATGCTCCGCACTTCACACACGGCGCTTTATTTTGTTTCAGCATCTTTCAGTGCTCCAGAAAAGCTCTGAATTTGCCTTGATTTCCGTCTGAGGCTTATGTGATCTGACAAGTTTTATTTCTAGAGGGATTTTGCATAAAATAAACAGAAGCATTAAATGGAGTTCCACAGGGAGGGAGGCTTTAGATGCATGTAAGCATGCTGGCCACACGCCGGGCTCAGACCCCACTTGACTGTCCTCTGCTTGGTGGGCACTGACCAGACCTGCCAATGCATGGACGTTCTTTGGGCCTGGGTTGCCCCTCTGTACACCCATGCCGAGCAAGGCCTGCTGTCTGGCAGCCTCCACTGTGGCGCCCCGGAATGCTCACCACTGAGCACAGACCTGACCACTCCGTGGGACGCTAACACAGCCTTTTGTGCGTTTTGTAAAATGGATGATCCTGGGACTTCCCGGTGGTCAGCAGTGGAAGCAGAGAGAATGAGAACCGCTCAGTATCGAATTGAGGATGTATCGTACGACACACTGTTAAATGCTGAGGAGTAAACTACAGCTTAACACAGGGACCAAGACGGGAAAAGGAGGCAGGTTCCACTCGAGGACACAGGGTCTGGTAGGAGGGAGGGAGGGGGACAAGGAGGACCCGTGGAGGAGGCGGCTCGTGCGGGCTTGTCCTCCTATGCAGGGAGCCCACAGGGATGTTGCAAAAGGCCAATTGCATTGTGGGGCTCAGACCATCTGGTTTCGTGACCAAGACTGCCTGATGCACCGCTTGCCTTCTGAAATGGCATGGAGTGGCGTTTCATTTAGTTGAAAACCTTGCGTTTTCACTGAAGGAAGACACAGGACACAGTGCTGAGAAAGACCAGGGAGCCACCTCCCTCGTGTGTGTGCACCTGGGCCTCTCCGGTGGAGTCCTGTCTGCCGTTAGCCGACTGTGCACGGGTGGCAAATAGCTGCCTCCTTGTTTCCTTTTCAGTGACTTCTTGTGCTCCCCGGAGCTCACCGTGTTGCCCAGGGTGTCTCAGATGAATCAGGGCTATAATGTGAATTTAAACGTGATGCTTCAAAGTGTTGTGTCTGTATACATGGGTGATGTGTGTTTGCGCACGCGCGCGCGCACGCACACACACAGTTTTCATCCATCCCTTGGAAGATCCCAGGACTTACTTAGACAAGGAAACCTCAGCCAGGGCCTACTTAGCACTTGGTCAAATCAGCCTTTCTCTTCTTTGCCTGGCACCAAATCTCTAGACCGGGCAGGACATTGAGAGACTGGCCAATGACTAGCTGTGACCTCGTGCAGGATATTATACTTCTCTGGGCATCAAATTACTCACATAGAAAGGGAGCAGCCGGCATCATGGAGTCACTCAGAGGGTCCCGTGAATCAAGGCTAGCCTCGTCCTTCCATGTGCTGCGTTCCCCAAGGGTCTCTGGTGTCTTCTTTGCTATTTCATAGCTTCGAATGTGTCATGGATCCAAGTGTTCTCACCAGGCTGTAGGCCCCTGGGAGGAGTGACCTCGGCCTAGAACCCATCTTTATGCAACAGGGATCTATCCTAGAACTAAGGATGGACCCGAGTCCCATTAGGTGCTTGGTGGGTAACTGGCCGGTGGGGTACCTGGGAGCCAGGGGGTTCTGCCTCAGCCCTGGCAGGGGTCTCGAAGGTCTCAAGGCCCTCTCTGCCTTCAGCTTCCCTGTGCAGATGCTCCTGCATCTGCAGGGCTAACTAGGCCCCGGCCATGGCATGAGGTGCAGATGCAAGGCCTTCCCTGGGTCATTCGGCTCAGCCCGTATAGTCCTTTCCTTCTCTTGTCAAAGTGAGGAGCCGCACCCCTTGTGGAAATTGTTATTCTACGTTGTAGCCATGCTAGGGGAAGCAGGAAGCCATGCACTGATGGCTTTTCAAGATGACATTTTGTGGTGAGGGCACACCATTTGGAAGTTCAAGTTCATAATGAATGGCCCCTGTTGTCACCAAGCAAGGAGTATGAATGATCGTGATCATTTCTGCCCCTCTGCTCATGTGTATTAACGCTGTAGGGAGCCCACATCTCAGCGCCCTTCCTGTTAAAACCATTAAGGCAGTTTCCAGGGAGGACAGCATCTTGGATTCCAAGATGCATTAAGAATTTGTATCTGCGGGAGCTCCAATTCCACTCTGCCGGCCTCAGCGTCTCACTCTGGCCCTGGGGGCTGGTCATGGAACGGGGCTGGTGATATCTACATTAGGAAAAAACTTCCCTGAGTTCTCCCCGTTTGCTTTTCACAGCCAGCGATGGAGATTACTGGCGCCTGCTGAACCCTGGAGAGTACGTGGTCACAGCAAAGGCAGACGGCTTCACCGCGTCCACCAAGAACTGTATGGTTGGCTACGACATGGGGGCCACTCGGTGTGACTTCACGCTCAGCAAAACCAACCTGGCCAGGATCAGAGAGATCATGGAGAAGTTTGGGAAGCAGCCTGTTAACCTGCCCGCCAGGCGGCTCAAGCTGCGGGGGAGGAAGAGACGACAGCGCGGGTGACCCTCTAGGACCCTTGAGACACATCCCGGACTTGGGCAAATTAAACCAACCCAGTAGTAGCTGCATAGTGGCCTCACTCACTGTTGTTTTCTCTGTAATTCAAGAGGCACCTGGGAGAGTGTGTGCATTGCAAGGCTGGTCCCAGAGTGGGGGGCGGAGGCTTAGGATGTTTTCCTTTTTTTGTTCCCATTTATCCAAATAACTTGGACAGAGCAGCAGAGAAAGGCTGGTGCGAGTGAGAGAAGTCGGCAGGTCAGCCTGGGAATCTGAGAGGGAGGAGCTGCCCGCTCACCGCCTCCGGGATGCACAGGGAGGGACACCTTTGCTTCCCTCTGCGGGACAACAAGAGTTCCATGTGCATTTGCGATTTGCGCAACTAACATTGCAGCATTCCCGGAGCCCAGCTGTCTCAAAGGTTGCCATTGAGATGCTCACAGGCATCCTAAGAGAATCCGCCCTCTCTGGCCCTGGGACATTCCACGCTGCTACAGATAAATTCTGCATTCTGTTGACAATAGGGACATTACCAAGTGAGCATCAGTAAGCCTCTTGAATCAGTTCGGTTTTCCTTTTCAACAAAACATTGTGTTCATAAAAGGAGAGAAGCCGAGATGACTCAAGAGCGATTGTTGGGCAGTGAGCATGGGGCTTGCTGTACCCTCAGTGGGTCCACAAAGAACCCCCCAAACGCCCTGCAGAACCGGTATCCCTGGTGTGGCGGCGCCCTAGGCAGGGAGGGCCAGAGGTGCCAGCCGTCCTGAGGCACCAGATAATTTAGCCTGGATCTCCTCGTTGTCCTGCTAGACCTTGGAATGAATCAGAAGAGGGCTGGCCTGCAGCCCTCTCTGCGCTTGAGGGATTGCGGCTTTGTGGAATGAGCACTCCTGAGTGGGCCTGACATCAGTACGGGAGTTATTTTTTGTAAGTGGAATGCCAGATTTTCCAAATTAGGTTAAATTTGATGAAAAACTCTAAGGATTCTCTGTGGAGCATCAGTTTGAGAGGGGTTATTGAATTCTCATGCAAGAAAAGTTGTGTCTCATGTTTTATTAATGTTGCTGCCTCATTGACCTGGGAAGAATGAAAAAAAAAATAAAGAAAGCAAACAGTAAAATCCTTCTAGCGTGTGGGTTTTTTGGGTAGACTTGCGGCCGCCCAAATGTCATACCCCCACTGCCTGTCTCTGAGGTTGGTCGCCCTAGAGGAGGTGCCTGCGTGGGGGTGGGCATGCTGGGTCCCCGGGAGCTCAGCACTGATGCTGGCAGCTCTGTGTCCCCTGCCTCCTGTCCAGAAGAGACATGTGCTTGGGACCCACTAGTGGCTCTTGGAGATGCCAATGAGCATCTTTACAGAAAAGATCCTCATGCAACTTTTTGGCAGTCTACACCCAGGGTCAGCAAACTTTTCTTATAAAGGGTCAGTAAATGTCTTAGGCGTTGCAAGCTGTACCATTGCTGTGGCAACTACTCAGCTCTGCTACTGCAGCGCAAAAGCAGACACACACAATACGTGCATGAATGGGCATGGCTCCATTCCAGTAAAACTATTTACAAGAACAGGTGGTGGCTGGACTTGTCCTGCAGGCTAGGACAGAGTTGACTCAGCTATAAACCAGTGTTGTCTGATAGAACTTTCTATAATGATGGAAATTATCTATTCTGTGCCTTCTCACATGTGGTTGTTGAGTGCCTGAACGGTGGCTAGTGTAACTTAGGAACTGGATTTCTAGTATTGTATCATTTTAATCAATTTACACTTAACTTTCAATAGCCATTTGTGGCTGGGGTCTTACTACTGGACCCTGAAGTTCTCAACTAAGCCCATCATAGGAAAATCTCACCCTCCCAGCATTGTATATGGGAGATGATGCTATAAACCATTTAAAACTATAAACCACTTCTATAGTTCAGAAGGGTTCCACGTATGCTTGGGGGATTGTAGATTTGTAAGGTTCCTGCCATGCCTGGCCCAGAAGCCAGGTCCTGGCCACTGTTGCCAAGATGCCCAGTCTTACTGCCAGTGTTTAGCTCCGGAGCTTGCTGGGCTATCATACGGTCTACCGCACGCACGCGCGATCCTTGGCCCACTCCGCAGAGCCGGCCACAGTCTGAGCCCATTAACAGGCGCCTTGGGCTCGCAGGCAGGAGCTCTGCACCCCAGGGCTGGCCAAGGCCCTTTGGTGTCTGGCCTCAGGTCAGGCAGCCTCTCTGATCTCTCACCTGCTCCTGCAAAGTGAAGCCCTTGGGCTCGGTAGACTCTGAAGTTAAGACCGGCTGTGGTGGCCGCTGATTCTGGCAGAGAACAGTAGTCCTGCGTTCCTAAAGCTCTGTTCTGTTGGAGTCGCTTCTCTACTCGGCCCCTCCGTAACACAGCAGCTCCGCGTGGGACCTTCCAGCCCGTGCTCGCCACCCTCCTGGCCGCAGCTCCCGGAACCTCTCTCCTGCTTTGCGGCCACAGTTTCCCTCCTGGAGCTCTCTGGAGGCTCAGCTCGGGCCTCTGCATAGACTATCCCTCCCCACAGCTGAAAACCTTCCTGCTTCTCTCTCCAGGTGTCTCAAACACCACCTCCTCCAGGAAGCCGTCCTGCATCTCAGAGCCATGGTGATTTCTCGTGCCTTTGAACCAACCTACAGAGCCCCAGGGCCTCTCGAGGGGCTGTCTTACCTCAGGTTCTCCCTGCGGTTGGTGTGGATGCCCACGAGGACAGGGTCAGCGCCTGCCTTAGTTTCCCTCCTGCAGGGCTGCTGCTCCTTACTCGTAGCAGGCACTCGATCAATCAATTCGAATTGAACCAGCCTCTTGCCATGGGTGCCTTGTCTTTAAGATTCCTTTACCAGTTAAGAAAGGTGACTTCAGAAAATGAAAATCTGTAATGTGAATTTATTTAATATCTCTTTACCTCCTCAAGTGTCCTCACTTTTTTAAGTGAATTCTTGTACTCGATTGAGTGGAAACATGTCTAAAAGATTGATAGACTGTTTGTTTTGGATGTTTTTCTATAGGACAAAATCAACTAACGCCATACCTCTCCTTCCGGCAGAGTCCGCCCCGTATTTGTGATTTTGACTGTCCCATGCGAGTCACAGGCGGGCGGCGGAATGGCCCTTTCTCACGCTGCCTGCGTTTACGTTGAAGGGCATTTGGGGAGCCACACGGAGCAGAAGCTGGAATCAGGACCTGTCAGTGATCACAGGCAGGAAAGGTGACACTTCACCTGGATACGAAAGATAACCAGAGTGCACCTGGCAGACTGGGCCGGGGTGGGGGAGGGGACAGAGCTGGCCGGCCTCTTCAGGGAGAGGGGACAGTCCATGTAGTGGCTGAGAGGGGAAAGGCAGAAGATGCCAAAGAGGAAGGCCGGGCGAGCTTGTGCAGGAGTAGGTTTCGAGCTCACCCTGTGGGTGCCCCAGGCCCATGGAGCACTCAGCAAAGGCCACACGTGCAGTTCCAGGAAGTACAAAGGGAGCAGGGAGCAGCAGCTTCTTTCTGGAAAGGAATGGGCCATTTCAGAGAGCAGTTACTTCAGTCTAAAAATATGCATGTTAAAGAGCTTTCTTTTAATAAATGGAGTGGAAAAATTGTTCAGTTCTTAAGAAAGGAGGAGAAATGGCTATTTAAAAAAAATCAAGCAACCACAGGACAAGCCTCAGGATTTAATTGCAAACCTAAATTTGGCAAATCTAGTAGCTTTGTAATCATTTCGCACACATTAGCCTGCCCAGCGAGCCAAGCACTGAGACCTGGGGAGACGTGTCATTATTTCCACCTTACTGATGGGGAAATGAGGCCTGGGATGGCCAGGAACTTGTCTAAGCTCTATTCTGATTATCAAGAAGCAGAAATTTTGAGAGAGAGACTAGCATTTGTAAAAGGATAGAGATCGAAAAGTTTGCAAGATGGGAATTTGGAGCGGAAAAATGTCCACATTCGAACATCTTGTCCAACTGTGTGCGTTGGTTTGGGGTTCCCCAAAAGTCAAGTCTGAGACAAGAACTTGGGTGCAAGGAGTTAATTTGGGGGATGGCCCCAGAAAGCAGGAGCGAGGGAACAGGGAATGTGACCAAGATAAGGCCGTTGCTGCGGGCAGTGAGGAGCACACAGAAGGCCTCCTACTACAGCCCATGTGCAGAGCAGGAGCCTGTTGCCTTGTCCCCTGCTCCCTGCCCAGTGGTCGAGGCTTGTCCCCAGCTTGTTCAGCCCCTGCACTTTAGGGCTACACTTGCGTGAGGCCTCGTGGGCTCCTGGTTGCCCGAGAAGGGCCTGCTATGGAAACTCAGGGCGCTCGGGGCAGATGCTGCCGGCAGGAGGTGAGTGTGAAGCTGAGACCCGAGGTGGACACTGCGCCGGTCCCCACAGGCATCTGCAGCACAAGCAAGGCATATGTGGAAGGTGAGTCCTGGAAAATGACCCGTGCATGGGACAACTCAGTAGATGTTCTGAATTCACCACTTCAACCCCGGGATCCGGGCAGACCCCAGGAATTTCTCCCCCCACCCCTCCCCAGGGCACTGTTGGTTATAAGGGATCTTGGACCACTGGTAATGGGAGGGCAGGAAGTGGACTAAAGGTTGGGGTGAGCACTTTGATTCATTCGTTTAACAAATATTTATGGAACACCTACTGTATACCTGGTGTTGTGTTAGGCTCAGGAGATACAACAGAGAAGGAAACAAGAAATATCTCTGGCCTCACCAAAATGACATTTTCGAGTTCTTAGTGTTTTCCTGGTTGTTCCATCTCAGTGAGCTTGCTGTGGATGTATAGGAGAAGGGACAGTGGGATCGCAGGTGGAAAGAATCAGGTGAGGCATTTCCTTGTCAAAGGTAGCGATGTGCTCTGCGACTTTGCAGGTGGAAGTCATACAGGAAGGATACATGGAGAAAAATATGCAGGGCCTAAACATATCCATCCAAGAAAGCGGTTTCCTGGAGGGAGGTATGGGTCCAGGATGGGTCCAGGATGGTGGATCAGGAGATGCGGGTGCTCTCACTATGAGGGAGTGAGGTGTCCTAGGGGAAAAGTACACCTGCCCCATGAGGTCTGGCTAGGCTGGGGTCTGTTGTTCATGTGTTCACACCTAACACCTGGTTAAATTCACCTCTACAAGCATGCATATGTGGTTTAGCAATGCCAAGGGATGCTACAGAGCCAAGGGTCAGTGGTCTTCCCCCAATTCATTTGTTCTGTGTTTTAGGAAGGAGGCTTTAGCAGCAGCAGGAAGGCTGGAGTTGGCAGGGAAAGACTGGGGAGGGAGGAGCCCTTTGGAAGCTCCTACACCAGGTGAGAGATGAGAAAGTTCTAGAACAGAACAACAGCCCCAGGGGATGGCAACATACCATTCTAGGGCTTGATCAAGGGATTCTATGCTGCGGATTCCAGTGGCGATCTCAGGTCTCAAGTCTAACACGTCTAACTCACCCAGTTGGTGCTGATAAAATGTTGAAGCTACATGTGGCCTCAGTGTGTCCCCACTGGTCCGTTCCCCTCGTGAGATGGGACTGAGGTCCAGACCATGCCTCTGCAAAGCCATGGAATCAGCCAAGCTGCCACGGGTCTTCTCTGTGCATCCCGCCCATATTTGGGGCCCTATTTCTTTGAGCTGAGCTGATGAAATCCATTGGCTTTAGCCAAACAAACCAGGGTACTATTATGACATTCTAAAAGCTCATCTTTAGGCAGGATTCTCTTCTACTCTACCTCCTTGTACTGATGGGAAGGGAACATAAGTCATCGTTCGCTCAGAAGAGGAACATGTGCTCCCATTTTACTGATTGGTTGTAAAGGTGAGCATGGCATTTTTCTGTACCTTGGGAATGGATGCGGAGGTGTGCCAGTTTTCTCAGGCGATGCCTCTCGGGATCGGAAGTACGGTGGGTTTGGCCTGTGTGGTATAACCACGCAGAGAATAGGTGAGTTTCATAGTTCTTGCCTGTTCGAGTATCTACATCCCGTGCATCATGTAATGATTCCTATGCAAAGGGACTAATACCCTTCTGGAACAGAAATGTACCTTCTGTGGGAAAGAAGACAGTTGCTGACAGTAGCCGTGTCCTGTGTTCTCCCGGGGAAGCACCAATGTGCTGAAGAATTAACAGGATACGATTACACATGTAAGTGAT